TGCTCTGGCACGGGGGGCCTCGAGCGGTGCAGGCAAAGGGCTAGCCAAAATCAAAGTGGATTCGGCACCGCTTCCGTAGCGGTTTTGGCCTGTTCTAGGGAACCACCCTTTCAACACCTGCAGCACAAGGAATTCCTTTTTTTTTTTTTTTTTTTTTAAAAACATTTATTTACAGTCTGCAAATGGAGTCTGAACTTGGAGGAGCAGGGAGGGCAGGTACAGCCCCGCTCTCCGCCCTCCCCTTGCCCGGGCAGGGACCAGCAGCGGGGCAGGGGGCTTCCTGCCCCTCCTCGGCTCGGCAGCTGGTGAACTCGTCCCATCCTCACCCCGACGCCGCTTCCTCTGCCGCGGCAGCCGCCGGCTCCCTGGCACTGCTGTAGACGACGCTGTTGCAGCCCTCTCTGTTCCGAGCGATTTCGATGGCGAAAAACTGGATTCTGGTGGCTAAAAGAGGGGAGAGCAGAAACTTAAAAGAGCAGATCCGTGGGTTCAGCTTTCCTGTAGCCTCACGCACCGCTCTTCTAGCCGGGACGGCGCTGGCTCCAGCCTGCACCACGGCTCGCCCAGCCCAGCCGGGCCGTGCCGGCCCTCGCTCACCGAAGATGGTGTTCTCCTCGGTGTAGTCTTTGCGGCAGTCCAGGCGGAGCAGGGTGCCGTAGTTGAAGTCCTCCACCACCCCCTCGAACCGCAGGCAGAACGGGCGCCATTTCTGGGGAGAGAAGCATCGGCATCCCTGGAGCCCAGGGAAAGGGGGGCCGGTTGTGTGTGTGTGTGTGTCCCTGCTCCCCACCCACCTCCTTGGCAGGCTCCGATTTGAGCTCTTCTGGGTCGAGCACGTCGATTTTAAGATCCCTGAAGGTTTTCCTGAACTCGCCGTAGATCTGGTCGTCAACTTTGGTGAGGTTCAGAAACTTGGGGTCGACGGAGGAGATGAGCTGCTCCCCACCCACCTCCTTGGCAGGCTCCGATTTGAGCTCTTCTGGGTCGAGCACGTCGATTTTAAGATCCCTGAAGGTTTTCCTGAACTCGCCGTAGATCTGGTCGTCAACTTTGGTGAGGTTCAGAAACTTGGGGTCGACGGAGGAGATGAGCTATGCAGGAAGACCGAAGAATTAACCGTGACAGCCCCCCCCACCCCG